AGTAAAGGGTCAATATCTTCCGATATTGTAGAGAGTCTTGAAAAGTCGTGAAATCTCAACACACTAGAAGACCACTTCTACTTAATCGAGGTTGCGATTAACATCGATTTGCCTATAAAATCTTCAAGACCGAGGAATTTTGGAGTACTGATTTCATTGAAAGCCATAAGGCTACTTAAATTGAAATCTAAGGTAATGATTTTCAGAAACGCTTCAAGAACCAAACGGAGAAGAATAATACCCGCATCCGAGTTTGCCAGGTTCGAATTATTGCATGTCGGTATTTCCCCAATCTCTGAAGTTCCAGATCTATCAGTTAGCATCGGTTTGCGATTTGCATTATTTTGGGTTAATATCGATGATTTTTACTCTTTAATAGTTTAAATAACTGCTATCAATGAAATAATGTTCGTCTTAAATTGAAAAACATATATATATATATATATATATATGCACATATTCACAGTACTCACCTTACCTTTTTCTCTACCTTTGTGTCTGTCTGCCTCTTTTACATCTGTGAATCGCTCTTCTGTTCCCCACCCCTCGACTTTCTGCTACTTTGATGAACCTCCCCTCCGTGAAGCCCGAAGTCAGCTAAATGGCTAATGATATCTATCAAAAGGCCTGCCATTTGAAATAAATTGACGGATGGAAATCATGCTTGTAATATTTTGAAAGAGATAAATCATCTAACGACTTCAAATTTGTGTTAAGGGAATCCTTTATTTGCTACGATTTGCAGGCTTTTGTATGCTGCTGGTAGATATAAATATCTCCATTGTATTTTGAGATTGAAACGCACACAGGCACGAGTTGGCCTTGGCAAAAAGATGTATAACTGTGTAATGCACTTGCGTATTTGGTCAACAGTTGTCGCTGAGCTATATATATTGCTGGTTCTGGCATTTTTGTTTAACAACAACTAAGCTGCACACAGCATTTCTGGAGACATTGAACCGATGGGCATTTTGTAAATTATGATTTGTACACAATTGCCAGCCTTACAAATCCAAACCACTCTATGACTGAATGGAAAATTTACTTACTTGTCTGTTGGAATAAGGTAAATTTAAGGGATGGTTTGAAAATGATTGGTGGAATCGATCAATCGAAATAACTATCGATTATTGATTTGTCCAAGGTATTTATTTATTTATTTCAAATGGCAGGCATTTTGATAGTTATCATTAGCCCTGGAGCTGACTTCGTGCTTCATAGAGAGGAGGAGAAACATTAGAGTGACAAAAAGACGAGAGGGAGAAAGAATAATGATTTACAGATTTAAAAGAGACAGACAGGCGGACACAAAGGCAGAGAATAGGTAAGATAAGTACTGTGGAAGGGGTCGAATATGACATGCATTCGGCCATGTTAGTTTGAAGTCAGAAGTCAACTGCCGGTTTATAGACTTTTTTGGCGTATGAGTTTACGTTACCCAGGGTGCACAACGTGGAGGTAAGTCTAGGGGCATGATTTGTCCAAGGTAGAAAAACGACTAAAATCAATTAAAATTAGCATGTTTTGTGACTCTAATTGGGGTCCCCAGAGGACTCCCTTATCTCAATATCTTTTATTCAAATTTTTATTATTTTAAAAATTCGTATTTTGTACAAGTGCGGTTTAGATCTTGTGGGTTGAAAAATCAGCGCTGAATTTTCTGTCTCATTATTTGTGCATAAGCACTTAAGCACCTTCTGCCGGTGAAAATATGCGAAAATCGATTTCAAGGGCCTTTTGACTGAATTGATCATTAAAAAAATTCGTCAGATATTGCACTGAAGAGTGTCAGCTTAAGGAATCCTAATGGAATCGTATTGGCTAAACTTTCGACTCTAACTTCTCATGGTCATCATTAAACAAGAAGGATGATAATTACAATATCCAAGCAATTGTATGGAACACTCAACCCATTGTTATTCTCTAGCATTTAACTGCACTTGAAGTGCTAACCGTTTGGATGTGTTCATAGACCATTTATGAACGTATGCGAGCAACGATGGCTCCTTTACTAATGAGTATCGATCACTTTCTTTTGTGCATTGTTAAAGGTAATCTCGAGGTCGCGTCTTGGGAAAATCACTTTCCTTCTTTCAATTTTTGGTGTCATGGGGCTGGTCACATGACTCTTTTCTATATTTAAAACAAAGACTTTATTTGTCCACAAATGAGGCCTATTTTTTAAGGCTTTCAACAGCAAAACTCGTGTTTTATGCTATATATATTTTAGACTGAATCAAAAAAATTCATTTTACCATAGAAATTACATATATACATTACGACGTTTTTTAACTTATATGAAAATTCCTATTAAAACCACAACTTCGTTGGGAATCAGGAAAGTGCTTTGACAGTTGAACGAAGCATTTGGACTACATGGATTTCAAAAAGTCTGGAATTTGACAGATTTTGTGTGAGGGAGAAATGAAACAAGTACTAAATTTATCATGTTTTCGGGGTACCAAGTAAGAAACATGGTAATGTTTGCAAAATATTTTGTTGTGATTTTACTTCAATAGGAGTACCAAGTTGTGGAAATTTTGTAATTTTTTAGTTTTTGCTATTCACGTGAAGGGCTTAACTGTATCTACCTCGTGGATTATCCTTTAAGTGTGTCCCTAGAAGTTCAACAGGATAGGAAATATGCTTGACTTTAAGCTGCTAGTTTGCTTGAAATGCTAATATTTCACATAATCACCCCAATTTACGGTGATTATACTTACTGATATATTATGCTTTCAATCTAGTTGTTTAAGCGCTTCAATGTGGTTCCTGTTGGTCCCGATTCTGGCGAAGCATCTATTCGGGCTAAGGGAGGAATTGCGGAGGTACGCTTCGGGTTGAGTGGAGGATCCCAGTATCCGCTGCCAAGAATGATGGCCAAACTGCGCTGTAGTCTCCTCACCGAGGGGGACCTTGATAATTGCATCCTTCTGCGTGTACTTAAAGGTGGCACTGAGGCTGTCGTTACAGTTTTTCTCCCAGATGCTGGGGAATTCGGTCTCGAAATCTACGCCTGCGATCCAGAGAGGGACGGCTCATCTTACTATGTGGTTAGTCGAATATATGTATGCATATATATATATATATATTCCCTTGGTTGGGCAATAAACCGTTACTGCTTATCATCATAAGGAAATCATTACACCTCAAAGTGGCGTAACATTAGTTTTGTTGCACCTATTCACTGGACAAAGGAGATTGTCATTTTTATAATCTTCTTTAATATTTTCCTAGGTTAACGATTTGCAGTTTCTTATCATTCTGCTACAATTTGCCGTTTCGACATCACGATTGCCCACGCATTCACTAGTTAAAAATTATAGAAAAGTTGAAAGAACTGTACAAAAGGGAGCGTGGTTTGTTACTGCTTGAAGTAGTTTAAAGAGATAGTCCTGTTTATTTGAAAATTCTTTTACAATATTTACTTTCAACATTTTGTTCTACTTTTCGTATTCAAGGAAACTCTTTCTCTTGGTATTTTTTTCGAACTGTTTTGACTTTAGGAAATTTTTTTTTGGTGAAAATGTGCATCGAACAGCAACAAAATACAATAGTGGTTTTATGACAAATTTCTCCTCCAATAGAGTTTCTCGTTTGCGTACAGTTCTGAGTTGAGGCCGATGTGCAGAAATTAGGGGTGAGGGGGAATTAAATATCATTTTTCACGGAGCGCCTTTGTTTTAACGACAATAACAATAACAATTATCTTTACTATAAAAGCCAATTTAATGTGCTCTATTACTGCTAATAAAGCTTCTTTTGCTGTTCTAATTCCCAAGAAAATGTTTTGAAATCGAAGATGTATAGTATTGATACCTTCGAATACACCCTTGCAATACCTTTCGGATAATTAGATAAATTTACTTCATATTTTAGTGAAAACAATATTACCTAAATTTTGCACTTAATCTCCAACCGTTATCCTTTTGAAAAAAATAAAATTAAACTTAAACGGAATTTCAAAAGCGCTATTTTATAAATCATGAATATTTTATTATGTTTTTTATAGTTATTCTGAAAAAAATATACATTTTAGTTAATCGAGGGTTGTTTAAGTTCCAAACTCCAAATTCCATGATTGGTCGAATAGATTAATGGTAAACCTCTTGCCAGTGGTTTTCAGCGCTTAGCGGTGGGTTATCGATTTTGCTAATTTAATTTACTCAGCTCAAATGTTGAGGGTAAGAACTAATTTTGCATTATAGTAAAGTGTTCACTTGCTCTCATCACAGCTGAGCTAAGTCTACAAGAGGTTGTTCTCTCCACAGGACTCAATGGGGAGTGTTTTCCTAAGAAATGCAATTAACAACATATAGAGCTCTTTCATTAACAGTGCAAATAGGTTGTATAATGCGGTATGATAAACGTGACAAATGTGTCTTCAAGTTGCCTCGGTGTAAATAATTCTACTGAATAAGATTAAGTAGGATTAATATTTCCATCTTGCAGATATGGCAGTATCTCATAATTACTGAGATGGCTTCTCAAGTAAGAGGTGTTCCTAATCTCCCTATTGGTTATCTGGGTCCTGCAGCGCGGTTCTATGAATTGGGACTTCAAGTAGGCAGTCATCCAGATCCCTTGATTAAAGCTGATGCCTCTGAAATACGGATACAGTTTGCCTATCAGCCACAACGTCCTCTCAAAATGATGGCTCAACTTATCTTCTCATCCAATAACACTTCTGAGGACTATTCACAAATGGTTAGTAGACGCTTCTCAAATACACCTATATTTAATTTAATCTTTGGGCTAAAACAGATAGTGTTCTGTAGGTGCTGCAACAAATGCGAATGGGCCAAGTGTTCTTCATCGTACGTATACCACGGTTAGGTTTTTTCAAGCTGCAAATCTATGCGCTGCCAGAGGGTGATCGGGATGATTCTCTTCCTGGAGTCTACAATTATCTTATTGAGGCGGCTAAAACTACTCATCGTTTGAGAGGTCAGCTAATGCCCTTCCCGCAACAATTTGCTCATTGGCGTCGCAGTGGGTGCTACCTGGACTCCCCAACGGAAGGTATACTAGGTGTGAATGAAAACGGCCGATTGATGAGTACCCCGCCTCCTGAAATCAACTTCTCCTTGGCTGTTCCATCGGCTCATGCAGTGGCGGTAGTTGTTGATGAAGACTGGACGTATTTGGAGGCGCGCGGAGATCGTTGGGAGGGTGCAGTAAACATGCTGCCTCACTGGAGACGTCAATCTCGACTTGCCGTGTGTGCCTCCTACTCATCAGAGTCTGATGCCAACTTCAGCACTCTGTTGGAGTATGCTTTGGCTCAATAACTGATCCAAGCACTTTCGCTTTCTGCCTTCTGTGTCTCGATGCGCCTATTTTTTTTACCAGTGTACGATCAAATTCAGGCACCTTTCTAAGCAGTGCGCACACCAATCAATCCTGGTCCTAAATCTCAACTGAATATCTCTTGCTCCTCTTCCTCTTTCAAATGCTTGTTTCGTTTCTTCCTTCTTCTCCGTTGTCCATCATACGGAAGCCAAATTATTGACCATGTGAAACTGTAATTAATATCTCTTTCAGGCATTACCCACCCAGTAAAATGATTTAAACTTTATTTATATGGTGATTTAATATCCAAACAATGTATGTTATCAAATATTTACCTCCCTTCCAGATTTACTAAAATTATTTCCAAATTGCCTTGAAGATAAGATACGTCAGAGGATTGAATGGAACAAGCTTACTTAATGCCCTCTCTGTAAGATAAAAATGTGGTAATCAAATAAAAGATCAAACGTTGTGTTATCTCAAAAAAGTAATATGGTGGTCTGGTGAGATGATTTTCGCATGAATTGAGGGAGAAGTTATCAAATACATGACCAAAAATGTTGTGGTAATGGGTTTGCTAGCCACTGGGCTAGACCAATGAAACCAGGAATGTAGTCGTAAACGCGGTTTCCTTATAAAAGAACAGAAAACATTGGAATAGTGCCACCAATTGCGATAATTGATTGATTTATCGAAGTCGACAGGAGTGAGAGGCGTTGAATTATTTCTCAAGATGCTGACTAGTGGAGAAAAATTAGTGGATGTGCATCGTGCATCAAATTTTTTTGCCCGAACAAATGTGGTTTTTAATTGGTGCAGGAGTAAATGAAGTAAGGTACGTTGAATCCAGACCTCCTATCATCGTAAGATCTAAGAGATCACATTTACAGGCTTGATGCCAAATGTGCTAAGTAGAATTGGACAATTATTCAATTGAAGAGAAAAGCTAATAAAAGTAGGAGTGTATTTGCATTGGAAACGAGTGTAACAACTGACCACACAAGAGAAAATAATCTTCCATGTTTTAATTTATTGAGCAAATACTTTCAATGCACGCCCTCTCACAAAATCGAGTTGACAGCACTTTTGTTGCAACAAAACAGCACTTGAAAGCCACTATTCTACTTCAGTCGCTCTCCTTGCGACACTTCATCGGAAAGACGACAGTGAGAATATCTCCATTTCCGCATTAACACCTTTTCGTCCTGTCTTTGCAATTGAGAGGTATTTTGGAGACCTCGTATATTCATTCAAAAGAAAAAAACACTCGATAACGCCAAATTAAACATACTCGTTCTATACTTATAAAATTCAAACTACTGATGTAGGTTTTATACAGAATCTAACAGCAATTGCCCAGAGTGTAATAACCGCATTGTCCAGTGCAATCAGTTCAAATGTACTACCAGTCCACGTAAATGGGCTTCCAAACACAACAACGTAATTTTTACTTGTCAAGCATCAAAAAATTTCCGCACTTCCAAAAAAGTTGTTAGAACCAGGGGTTGCTTATTGAGAATAACTTCCAGAGTAAGGCTTATAAAAGCAAATATACAGCAACCAGAATGTGGAATGGATCATGCAAAAGGAGAAATTACAGCAATTACAAACTTCCCTTTATTTTCTCAAAAAATGATTAAGTTTTAGTGGCAGGTAAAAAGTTAAATTATAGGGAAAAATAGCATTAAGACTACAAATGAAGTGAGAGGAGGATGGAGGGAAGTAGAAGTAGACTGGAGAAGAAGGCGAGTGAACCAGAGGAGGTGGTTGTTGGTACTGAAGACATTGTGTCATTTCCAGTCGTCGAGTTTGAGCCTGACGTATCGTTTCGTGGCATTGCCATTCCATTGACAATAGCCCCGAGGCACACGATGGCAAGTAGAAGAAGGAAAGGAGCACGATACATTCTTGAGTTGTTTCGATTGCCCAGTGCTAATGCCAACGATTGGCATCCCTAATGTATATATACGTCTATACAGATCCGTCATCACGAATAGGAGCCCCAGACACCTTTACACCCACACGATTCTCGT